TCTCCCACCCATCATCATCGGAAAATCAAAAAATCCACGCTGTTTCAAGGGAATTTCATTAGGAAACATTCCAATGCGTTATTACAGCAACAGTAAGGCATGGATGACGATTTCTATTTTTCAAAGGTATCTACAGTTTCCTTGATTGAAAACACGATCACTTAATAATTCACATGCTCTCGTAGGTTTTTGAAAGATTTTGATACACGTATGTCTGGGCGACGAGTCTTATTGATATTAGATAATGCGACTGTTCACAAGGTCGGAGAAATTGAGCTGAAAAATACTACCATTCACTTCCTTCCTCCAAATACAACACCGATTCTTCAGCCACTTGATGCAGGCATAATATTATCTTTTAAAAGACGATATCGCCGTCGACACATTGAGTATGCGTCTTTTCTGCAAGCCATTCGTAGGAATAACCTGTAAATTTAGCTAAACACATATTACTTTTAGATGGTTACTGAGGCAAATCGAGGATGGCACTGCCATTGAACAGACCAAATTAAACATCCTTGAGGCGATTCGTTGGATTATTGACGCATGGGGCGAAGTACCAGTTAGCGTTATAAAGAACTGTTGGTTTCACACAGGCCTAATTCAGAGACCATTATCTATTGAAATAAATTCGATTGAAGAAATTACAAGACATGAAGTGGACCTGTTGAATTCAGGCATTAAGGCTCTCAATCTTCCCGATTCGATGGAGACAGATGGATATATAAATAATCCAGAAGAACTTGAAACTCACGATGCTCCAACACTTGACGATATTGTCGAAGCGTTCAGAGAAGAAATGGATGAAGAAGATGACGAAGACACTGAACTACGTGAGATCAGTTGTGCTGAAGCCCGTTCGGCCTTGGAAGTTATGCGTATGTTTGTACTACAGTCAGAAGATGCAGCAGAAGAGTTCAGATGCATTCGAAAATTGGAAATTTTGCTATCGCAAAGAGCATTACAAAATCTTCAGCAACAATCCCTCCTTGATTATTTCAATCCTGTTAATCAAGAATAAAGATAACTAATAGGAAGTTGAGTGTTTGTAATGTGGAAAATTGTGTGCAGTAACAAGCGAAGTTTATATTTTTTAATTCGTAAAAATTAATGCTCAATAGTGATCAGATTAGGTTCGAGAAAAAAATAATAAAATGAAAAGATTACTTGAAAGCGGGATGGTAAAAACAAAAATAGTACCAGTCATATACACATAAATAGCCATTTCACTCACCACATTTCTTCGTTTGAATTTTTAAAGTGTTACTTTGTCAAATGAGATTCCGACGAGTGGCCGTGTCCAATCTTGACAATGTGCCATTAGTGCTCACATAGCACAACTCGATTGATTCTTGATAATACTTGACCGCCATATGTTCATCCTTTTCTACTCCAATTCCTTCATTCTAACAACCAACCTATGTTCTTCCTTCCGGAAATTATCAATGAAACTTTAGTGTGTGCAAATCATGGGAAAGTTTTAATTAGTTCGTGGCACATTTATGCAACAAGGAAGGTGGCAAACACACTCACTAGGCAAAAAGAG